GGTGAAAATCTGCCACCAGGCGAGTTACCAATCCATTGTGAGAGCCTGATATGCTTAAATGAATGATTAGCATATCTTGCTAATGTCCCTTCAGCAGTGCTGCTCTGTGATAGTCAACCATGTGATATTAAGATGAGTTAACTATCAAAAATTAGTCAGCTATAATCATTTATCATACGAATGTCTTTTTACAGTTGAATACATACAAATGTTGTAGATTAGCTTATACAGTGCTGTCTGGCTAGCTTTATCATTAAACTCATATATAACATGTAGTGAATGCAACTTAAATGAATAACTCCTATGGCCTGTCTATGTTAACTCTAACATTAATGCTTATGCAAAAAGGTAACGTTGTGCATTGAAAAAAAAATTACTTTAAATATATCATTGCCCCATGAATGATGAAAATGCATTACATTGGCACAATTTTGTCTTTCAGCTTACGTTTGGCAGTAGTTGTATTGAAGTAATATTGTATTCATGTGGTATTGATGGACAGATTCAGTAATGTACAGAGAAAAAAACAATGCACCAATTTTAATACAGTAAAGTTATTTTATTATCTTCATTTTTCCTTATCAATGTGCCATCCCAATAAAATCTCTGGTCACCCTATTCTGAAAGTTCTAGCTACAATCCCTGACTGCAAGCCTTAATTATGGTTTCACCCTGGATTACTACTTCCTTTACACATGCATTAATTCAGTTCTGCTGAAATTTAAATACAAGTAAAGCTGAATGTGAGGTTTCAGTTGTCTTCAGTTGCAGCTGCCTGCAGGCTCTCATATACATTTAGCTAAACAACCAGTGTTGGGTATTTTGATCACTCTGACTTCACCTGCTCTGCACATTTAATTTCAGGTTTACCTTACAAAGTTAATTAAGTAGCACACTGTGTAGCTTGTGGTCTGTCTGACAACTGATAGCAGACTGAAGTGAGGTCGGCTGAGTTGATGCAACTGGCTAAGCACGCAAGGGCCACAGGTGTTTTGTTTACTAAATCGAAAAAGGATCCAGAGCAAAGGGGCTGAGAATGACCTGTCACATAGCATGACCAAAAGCGTTGTTGTCAAAGTTGTGGATAGAAACAGCTAAATGTTATCTGTAAAGTGACCAGAAAATTAAAAGGTCATTAGAGTCATAATCGTTTGCAGCAGTGGTGACAGGAACCAGACGTCTGAAGCATTTAATGCCTCTAAAAGTGATGTCACATCACACATCTAAACTCAGAAGAGATGTGTAGGTTTACTGGTCATTTTGGATAGTTAAAAATAGCTATATTTGTGTTGTAGACATCAAGGCCTTTGGCTCACTGTAAAGAAGTCTGAATCGGTAAGTTTCACTATAGTGCAACACTTTGAATCAAACCACCCTGAAAGGCTGTTTTCATCTCAATTATTTAATAGAATTATGCTGCAATTTTGAACAACTGATGGAATTCCTCTTTATATCATACTGAAATGATGTGAATAAACATTGTGTACAGTGTGAATAAACTTCAACTTCCAGAATGTCTGTATTATGTAATGAAAAAAGGATTCAAACACCTGTGCACTCCATCATCTTCTACATTTTACAGATTTCTATCTCTTCTTTTACAAAATCTCCTCCACCTTTTCATACAGTCCTGATGAGTCACTGTCTCTTGTGACACGGGGAAGAAAAGCGTGCTTCTCTTTAGCTCTCCTGGGCTCCTTTGTTGCTAATTGTTGGACTGTCACAACAATTAGGTCACCGCCGAGTGTGTGTTTACAAAACCCAGTAGGACGTCTGTGCCAGGGCTCGAACCTGATACCCCCTGACTCACCGGTGGGTCAAAATATTGGGCAGTGGGGCCGGTACAGTGTCTTATCTCCCTCACTACCGAGCTTGTGTTTGGGGGATACAAAGCAATGCCATCCTCCTGACATCACCCTGCTTCAAGAGGTGATGCTGCACCTGTATCGAGTTTCTTGCCCTTATCAAATGCTACAACAGATCTCAGCCTGAACTGTTTGTTTGCATGTTGCCAGCCTTGTATTCAGCTCTGAGTACTGCAAGATTCAAAACTTCTCCTCTGAAATGAGAGCAAGAATAGACTGAATCGTTAGTTTACCAGATTTAGCTTCACACTAGACTTACAACCTTCTCAGTTAATTGCAGTGGTCTTTCTGGTATATTGCTCAACTATAACACTGAGAAGACGTTAACCCTTCTACAGGCTCATAACAGATAAAACGTCTCCATCACCATGTAAGGACTAATTTTACCAAGAAGTATCCGAAACCCCGCCCGCTCCTCGACTGGTGTGTCTGTTTTGGCTACTTTAACAGTCTGTGCTGTTGTTTTCTTCCCTCTGCCCGGAAACAGGGTCGTCTGGGCGACACGCGATTGGTCCCGGATTTTCCTGAAGACTGTTTTTCCCGCCCGTATTCGGTAAAACTCCGCCCCCTGCGATATGATTGGCTACAAGATCTCGCTCCTACGCTACGATTGGCTTGTAGATCTGAACAACTCGCTTGTGATTATTTCCAGATATTTATCGCATGAATTGTCCTGCTACTGCATGTTATAACAGTAATATAATAATAAACTTTATTTATAGAGCACTTTTCATACAAGTAGCAGCTCAAAGTGCTTAACACACAGGCAATAAAGTTCAGTGACAGTAATACAAGAAAATAAAACTGAGTTTAGTGATTTTCTTTTATTACCGTTACTGTTCCGTAGCAGCAATTAAATAAAATAAAAATGAACATATTAAGAGTATGAATTAAAAGTGATAAAAAAATAAACTGAGACAAAACATACACGATTAAAAGATACAAACAAAAAGAAGAAATTAAAATGGAAGAGAAATGTTTCTTTAGAAGTGTTTACTGAGTGTGTCTGTCTTATTAAAGGCAGAACCGAGTCCCATAGAAGCATAAAAAGAGGCCTCTTCACTTTTTCTGTAATTTACAGAGGGTATTTATAGAAGGCCAGAATTTGCAGATCTAGTGTTGGAACATAAACAGGCAGACATGCAGCTGCTAGGCTTTAAAAACAGGTTAATTTTTTTTTAATCCTAAAAGATACAGGAAACGAGTGCAGGGCTGATATACGTTCTTTATTGTTTTCAGTGGAATTTCGTAACACTATATATAACATTTCACAATTAAACTGGTTAATAAACAAATAAAGTCGTGTAATAAAACGTGTATAATTGCTGTGCTAAAAAGTGCCTGGTGGAAAAGTGAACTGTTTATTATTCAACACTAGAGGGCGGAAGAGGCGCGACGCCACATTTGAATGGGTGCGCTACGTTGCTGCCCTCTGCTGGTCGGAGAGCTGAGGTTACGGGATCCTGAGCGCTGCACGTCTTCCTGCTCCAGCACGCATCTGGATGACTAGCGATGACGTAGACGACATTCTCATTGGGAGGTCTCTCTTCTGATAAAATGCCATGCTGGGCATTCAAAGTACAGCAGGTGAGAGTTCACATCAGTGCTTTTCAGTTCTGGTTTTGCATCTAAACCCCCACCCTGCATATGTGTGAAACGGTATTGTAAACTTAAACACTCTTCACAAGGTCTATAAAATTAGCTTCACTAAATATTCAGCACTTGAGTCTGTGAATCCATTTAATTTGCATGAATCATAACATCCCACAGTATTTGAGCATGGAAAAGGAACATTAGTGTTCCTAACTATTACTCTTGAAAAGAATAAACTCATGCCTGCTCCTTCATATCCCAATTTTAAGAGGGTGGGTTTCATCCCCACGCAAATGTCATAGGTTCCTAATAACTTTCCTATTCTACTCTAGTTCATTGTTTAAGTTGGCTGTTAGTGTTAAACTTGGCTGTTGTCCTTTTGACTTTTCAAAACAACTTCTCCTTTTGTTTGTTTGTGTCCAGTTGTTGCTGAGATGCTTTCCTGAGGATTCAACATGGGCCTTCATCCATCCATGATGTGTTCAAGGGGCATGTCTCTTACAAAAGCGCCCACCTGCCTACTGAAATTGTGTTTTTTTTTACAAAGTTAGGAAATAACTGCAGGTTGGGAGGTGAAGCACACCTGAAACTCCTCTTCCTTCCAATCTAATTTCATTAAAAAATCCTTGTCTTCTTTCTGTTTTTGCACCCCACCACCTTCCCATTTCATCTGTTCCTCAGTCCTGCCTTTATTCATCAAGGGGGGGTTCCGGCCTTATAGCTTAAAGAAGCCGCCCAGAACTCCAGCCCAAGTTTTCAGAGTTCTCTCCTCTCCTACGGTCACATGGTCTCTTACTACGACATTTCATCATACTCCTTCTTACTCTGTTGAAGGAGTGGTCTGAGCTCCCACAATGCCTGTTTTACTTTGCCTCTGAATCCAGGCCTGAGGCTCTGAATCCATGCTGGGTATATTTTTAAAATTCCTGTCCTTCCTCAATCTGTGCAGTCAGAACCCAGGGGCAGCTCCTACACATCATCAACACTTTCTTAATCATCACAATTTGTAAATACTCATTCACACACTACTAAAATACATATGTATTGTTGGCTGACTAGTGTCTTGTGAGGATGCAGATTTAAACAGCTAGAGACATCTTTCACTTTGCTTTACATTAAAATAACAGATACTGTAGTAGCTTCCTGATAACCTTTGTAGTTTGTGACAGATAGTAATGTTGGGTAACTGTAATGTTGGGTAACACAGCATGACTAAGATTCAAATTTAGAAGTGTATGAAAACATCCATTCATAATTTCTGTGATGCGATCTACCCCAAAAACTAGAAGACCACAGAATTTTAACACACATCATCTCACACGCAAAGGCTTAACTAAAGCAAAAGCTAAAATGAAAATCAGCAGGCAAAAACTCTAAGAAGAGAGTGAGGAAAGGAGGGAGGGAGACACACATATACACGCACACACGCACGCAAGCACACACACACACACACACACACACACACGCAAGCACACACACACACACGCAAGCACACACACACACACGCAAGCACACACACAGAGAGAGAATGTGGTGGGGGTGAGAGCACCCACAGGTGTCTTCCCTATCTAACAGAGACTTGGTCAAACTCATACTTTTATGCAAATTATAGGTAAAAGAGACAAATTACATACAACATTGCTGATTCATTATTACAAATCAAAACTGCTATAATCCAGACTTACATGGGCTCAGAAACAAAACTGAACACTGTCATTGGTGGGACAATAAAGATAGTGTCTCTCATAATGATGTCAGCAAGAGTCACTCCCAGTCAGGCTGAAAGCCTTGAGGGTTCCCAGAAACTCTCAAGAACAAGCTTAAGAAAAACTTTGGAAGATACTGGAATTGAATGAGGCTCACTGTGTTCATTCTCTATAAAGATCATTCTCCCTAAAACACTGTTTTAAGTGTTCCAAACCCATTTTTGACTTTCAACTGGTCTGGGCTTTAGACTAATATCCTTTTGCTTTGAATAACCTTATGCCTTATTTACATTTATTTTATTTAAAAAATACTAAACATTTCATTTTGTTACTGACAAAACAATCACGGAAATACGGAAACTTTACCAAACGTTTCTGTAGTTTTGGCAGCATCAATTCTAGATAATTTTGAACAGAACGCTAAACAACAAATTTTGAACAAAACGCTAGCCAGTACATAATAATCAAACAGTTTTAAATGGCTGTACACACAAAAATCACAATATCTTTTAATTAAAACATAAATTTTGCAGAAAATGTGTGTTTCGGTAGTGAAAAGTCTTAATGTTACACACTGATTTTCAGACTTTGGGCATTGAATGTAGAACCAAATACTCGTACTCAATCAACAGGCAGAACATCATGAGAACATCTAAATGTTTTTTATATCATTTGCATTAAATCTTAAGTAATAACAAAAATACTTCAAACTATTTTAATAGTATATTACACAGTAAAGAACAGCCATATAGGATTATCCTTATGTTAGGGGAGCTAAAGAAACTGATATAATGGATTTAAGGTTCAGAAGCATATCATTCAGCAACAATACAGCTTGCATAAATTTTGTCCTGCATATAACAAATACCATGAACAAATCAACTCACAAATCTAACAACACAGCCCCACATGTGCAGGGTGAATACGATTTAACAGGGACCACAAAATGTGCCTCATATTGACCTATTCATTATCATCAACCTCTTCGTCTGGGCAACAGTAATATTCAACAAAACAAATCTGTCCGTCATCATTCCGTACAAGGTACTGTAAAGAGAGGAAACCTCGACTGTCTGTTCTCACCGACACCTTACAGGACAGCGCCAAGGCCTTGGTGGAGGGTTTTAATAGAGACATCTTGTACCTGTGTGAAGAGTAGCAGAAGACAGATGACACTCAATATATCATTCAGTGACTATAATTAAAGTAGTTTAGGAGGTTCTTGAGTAGGTCATTAAGTTACATTACATCCACAGAACCTTGTTAGAACTGTGTAAAAACAGTAGTGTCACTGGTAGCCCATGATCTACACTAGTAAATCACTTTTTCTTAACAAATATACAAAATAACCATCTTTCCTAATAAATACTTAAGCTTATGTTTGATAAAGGTTGGTGAAACTGGTTGGTAGGATTGTCGAAAAAATAAACTCCGGTTTATTAGCCAATCAGGGCACTGGAGAAAACACTTGACAAATCGAAAGGCCATTACTATGCAAAATTAACACAGTGCGCTAATTTTCTATGTTCTATGTTAAGCTGACATAAATCATGTTTAAACAGGACATGGTCCGGTTTTGGTGAGTATCCTCAAAAGGGCTTTCAAAATTGCATGCTATAGTATATAGTATATCATATTCCTGTTCTGGTCATTTTATTACTGCTGTATGTATTTTGATTATTCTGATTGTTATGATCTTGCAACTCTCTTGAACAGACTGGTTTTGATAGGGTTCTTTAGTCTTGTGCTGTTCATCTCTAGGTTGATATGCTTGATGCTGAAAATATTCACTGTCCAGCTGTTTTGTCATGTGGTTTTGTTCATCGGTCTCACTTCAGTTCAGCAGGCTGAAGGTTCTCCACAAAGGAGAACTAATAGTGCTCAGTGTGTGAATCATTAAAATGGAGGAGCTTGCATAAATACCATTTTTGGAAATTGCGGTTATAATATGAGGAACATTCATTTCATCAGCTGGGTTGTGGATGACCACAGGCATACCAGTAGGGGTGCTATGGAAAAGGTGCTATGATATAAAACGGGGCTTTTGTGGTAGTGATGAATAACAGCACCAGCCTCCCAGTTGGCAAAACCCTGTGAACGGATGTAGACTATCTCCTCTAATCAAATTTAAGTGTTTTTAATATAGAATATGTTTCTTAAGAGTATATTTCTTACACATAAAAAATATAGTCTTGGCTTTCTTGTCTCTCTGAGGCTGGTGGTATGCTCCTTCAGAAGGACACTGCAACATAAGGACTTGTGTCCAATCTATTCTACCAGACATGGTGACGGCCTATGGTGCAGGAGTTGGAACTGGATATTTCCATCATTGTGTAACTGGGTGAAAGGCGACCATTCGGGGACCTTAAAAACCTTGGGCCAGACCTTGAGCAACTCTTGCTGACGTGATTAAGATGCACCTGATGGACAATACTTTAGTTGACTGAATCTCACCAATGACACTGTGTTTGTTTTCATTCCTGAGCTAATATGAGTCTGCATTACAGTAGTTTTGATTTGTCCTGATGAATCACCAACAGTATGTGTAGATTTAATAGTATGAGTAGATATCTAATATATTTTGCATAAAGGTATAACTGTTTTGATCATCTGTGTTACGAGGGAAGACACCTGCAGGTGCTTTCAACCTCACCATTTGCGCTCGCTCTCTCTCGCTCTCTCTCTATAATACATGTGTTTTTCACAATACTCTCAGCGCTAGCACTCGCACCACTTTCCGTCTCCTTCCACTTCATTAAAAAACTTGAAATAGGGAGCAATAGGGAGTGAATGAATCAATCACATTACATGAAACGCCACACAGAGAGTGAAGAACTTTGAAACATGCTGCCGACTACACAAGGGTTCACATGAAGCAAACCCCTGCCATTTTCCGGAAGATCAGGCATTGGTAATCTGGGCCACTCTCAGGTTCGAAAAACAGGTTTTACACTCGGCCAAACGTACCAAAGTCTCTGGGCAAACAGCCCTGCATCCAGAAAAAAGCACTAGTGTAAAAACACATTTAGGACGCTTTTCCAAGATCTGGTCATCTTACCTGTTGGTCTGTGTCTTTGTACACTGGAACAGCTCCATCATGTCAGAGTCTTTGGGGTAGTCATAATGGGCATTTCCAGAATTACCAAATGTGGACAATCTGGGAAAAAAAATAAAGGAAAGATACTTTCATTATTAGCACCACCATAACTCGTAATACTTGAGAAACATTGTTATGAGCTTAATATTGTTATACAAAGTTTAACATGTGAGAAGAAAGTTTAATATAATTAGTAATAGACTAATGAATCTAGCCTTTACAGAGAGTCTGCCAATGTTAGAGAAGCCCAGATAACAGTGTTTGAAAACAAACAACTTTATTACATATAACGACCTAAATCGGTATGTCAGTTTTACTACTGAATTTAGTGTTTAGTGAACCTGACCAAGAAAGCTGCACTAAATCTCCCCACAGCATGCATCTATGTTTACTTTCCTATAATAAAATAACTGCTTTGTATTTAAACATGCTGTCCTTCCCCATGCCATATGGGAAAGCTGATTACAGAGCATGTCCAGAGGTAAATGTCTGGTAAACAGCATTGCCTGGAAATCTAAGCTAATGAGATAGTGATGGCGATAGTCAAGACAAGTAGGCGTCAACATCTACATAATCAATACCCAAATATTACACTATGCATAGTATCTGTGTACCTGAAAAAGGGATGACTCGGTGACATTGTTAACTGCAGGACCTCACTGGTCATGTCGAGTTCTGAAAAGGCCTCTTTCAGACTGTCTGACTGCAGTATCACCTTGTTGGTGACATTGGTGCTGCAAAAATCAAAGTCAATAGGCTCCTCTGGTTCCTGGGTGTTAATCTTGCAAACAGTAACCACTCCTCCTTCCTCCAGGAAGAGGGTAAGGGGGTAGCCATAGCCATTGTAGCACATTCTCAGGGCTGTGTTCACTCCTTAATGATAAAAGAAAAGACGCAATGAAGTATCCACCAAGACAAATAAGATTATTATTTAAATTCAGTTTTTACTTTTAGTAAAAAAAACTTTCAGTAGCATGGTCACTGATAAACTGAACACTTTAAGAAAAGAATATGTATTAATACTGTTTATTATTACTTCGTTTAGATACATACCTGGCACTGTGCTACCCCCAAAGATGGTGAGACAATCCAAAAGCACAGTTAGGTTAACCTGAAAACCAACTACATCCTCTTTGAGAGTGAATTCTTGAAATATGTCAGCCTACAAAACCAGAAAAAGACATTCAACCACACTGATCACTTGTTCAAAGTTGAAAGTATTTTAACACACACTGACCACATTCAGAGCTGATACTAACCTGAATAAATGCATTTGCTTGAAGACATTTGGAATCTTCTACAGTAACTTTTAACCCATTCTGCGTTGCATTGAATATTGCATGGTCTCTGAAGGATATTGCCTTCAGGATGTTGGAAAGGTTCCTCACATTATCCAAGCTAGCTACCAGGATGTACTCATCATTCCCCGGTTGGGACTGAGTTGATAACGGCATACTGACTGATGCAGACACCTGCAATGACGCTGTGAGAGTCAAAACTGAAATCTGAACCTTGAAGTCCACAATGGATTCCCATAAATAGGCATCTTAAGTACATGTTCATGTCAATAATATGTATACCGTTTATTTGGTAAGACGTATCATAAAAATGTGTTTAAAAAGTCAGCCTGAAAGGACAACATCTGTGAACCCCATGTGTCATATCAATATGTTGGAGGAAACTGGACTACAAAATTTAACTGCAGGGCGAGAGTTTGGCTTTTCAGTTAAAGCCGTTACATCTACATCCTATTATTGGAAGTACATGTAACTATTTTCACATACAATACTTGCATGTGATAACCCTTTCTATAACCCTCATAATCTCCAATCTAGAAAGGCACAACTTTCTTGTTTCCTGGAATGTGAACAGAGTCACTTTTGCCTGCCACTAAATTTGAAGGGCCCATACTGTACATTTGTGAGTTTTATTTTATTTTTTTTTGCTTTGTTTTGGGTTTATGTATCAAAATAGTTGTACTTTATTTTTCATTGACCATTTCCAACCTTTCTTTAATAGAATTAGAATTAAACGGGCTGTTTTTAACTGTGCTTTTAAGAATTATGTAAAGTCTCATAGGTTGGTTGCCCTCTTTGGGCCACCACATTCCTTATAACTTCAGCGTGAATGGACTAGACTAAACTAATGTAGGCTGAATGTATGTATATGTCTAAATTAGTTTATTTTACAATCACAAAAAACAAATTCAATGGCTGAGATTTTGCAACTCAGTTTTAAATTATGGACTGGGCATATATGGACTGTATTTTGAAACTTTAACAGTGGTTTTATACTAACGTTACTTCAGACCCTTTACTCCAAAAGTTAGGAAAATTTGGTAATCGATTATACAGGTCCTCTAAAGTTTTGAGACTTTTGGCCTGTTGAACATGTAGCTAGCTGTCACATTTTCACACGTACAATAATTGTTAACTTTAACTAACCTAGGTTAACTAGCTAACGTTATTTTCCCGAGAATATCAAAAAAATATAAAAATACCACATACACAACCAGGACAAAACCAGTTCACACATGCCGACTGTTCTTCGCGCTGTTATCTAACTGTTAAAACTTTGTTCAAAATGAAATACTGATTTGTTCTCAGGTAATTTCAGAAAGAATTTTTAAAGACAGCGACATGTTTCACAGCCACCAATTTGACCAAAGTTAAAGTTACGTTAGGAATAATGTCTAACGTTGGCAACGTTACAGTACTGATATAACTTCCCCACTTACCTAGCAGTATATATTACATTAGATGAGAGAGACTCGCGTTATTAAACACTTCAGAAGTCAGCGTTACTGTTTTCTGCCGCTAAAGGTTTTGCCCCTTTTCTTCTCCGCTCACTCTCCTTCGCTTCGACAGCTGAGGTCCCCCTGCAGTATCGGAGTAACGGTGCTGGTAAAGAGCGCCTGGGTTTTCATAATATGAGTCCTACATTTTTACGTTAATGTCAACAGAGCCGCTTCCACGAGGCTGAAGTTGGCTTCCTATTTGCCAGCTGTATGTTCGATTTTTCCACCTTAAATATCAGACGCCAAAATGTAACTGGGCTCCATTTAAGGTGGAACGGGAAAATTCGAACAAGAATCTGGCGAATAAGACGCCGACTTAAGCTTCTTGCCGCTTCCATCCTTTCGCTGACATATCAAGCAATGCTTGTCTACTACAATATTTAAAGAATCATGTGGCTACATATTTTAAAGATCAAACTGAATTTCTATAACATTAATAATTTACTGTGTGAAGACACAACACCTGGTAAGTTGGAAGGTAAATTATGTTAAAAAGTTTGTGCGACAGCCTTGGAATCATTTAATATAGTTCTGGCACAAACCACATCTTTAAAAAAAACTGTTAATTTACATAATAAAAAATAAGCATATTAAGTTCGTAAACTTGTTAAATCAGAGAGTTGGCCAGCCCCAGTTTTCCGGAGCGAAGCGAGCCGCCCGTCGCCTTGGCAGCGGCAAAGACTCGCCGGGATGAAGGCGGAGTCAGATCAGCTGGAGCGAGTCCCTCTGCCACATAACTAACCCGGAGAACTGACCTAACGAGGAGAGAAAACAGCAGCTTTCGGTAAGATAATGACACACCCGCTAGTTTGCCGTAACAAGCACTTTTTCTATAAATCCCTTAATGTTCTTTGGGAGATGTAGGTTTTATCATTTCAAGAAGTTTGTTATTGTTGTTGGCTAGCTCATTGGCTAGCTCCTTTCTTGCTAACCCAGCAAGTAGGCTAGCACTATTGTTATTGTTAGCCAAGTTGTTTGTGGAGAGCTGTATTAACCTATATGAAAGTGGCATTACATGAAGCTTAGATACCACAAAGGAAAAGATATATCAGAATAGAGTGAATTACAGGTTAACTGTAGTTTGCCACAATCGTTAGCTGTCTTTGTCTCTCTAGCTAACTAACGTCAGGTGATGGACACTAGTTGATCACCAACCATATGGTATCGAACTGCCTAGATACCGTTTGTTCCAGTGTGGTCAACCGATAAGCCACAAATTGACGTTTGCTGTATCGCAAGTTTACTAGAAAAACAACATAGCTATTTTATTCTTCGGTTAAGGGGGAACTCCGTCGATTTTTCAAAATTTCTGGATGTTCAAATGGTTAACATGTTAACAGAGTCATTCGGAGTGGTTTGGTGTGAAATGCTTCATTCTAGAGAAAATTGCAATGTCGTCATTGGTGGTGGTGATGAGAACCAGACGTCCACGTTCCCTCACAGAAACTTATTAAATGAAATGGTTATGAATTCACTGCCTGATATCTGAGACATTGTTTTACGGTAGCTGTGACAAAGATTTGGTCTAAAACGTATTTGAATCAGTTTGTTTTTAATTCATTTATGGTGGAGGGATACATGAAGGGTGTTCTAAGGCAAAATGGTCCCCAAAGAAAACTTATTTTTTCAGATTGACCATTATTTTACCATCATAAACATTACATATATAAACTCAGAAGACACATGTATGTTCACTGGTGGTTTTGGAGAGTAAATAAAAAGGCTACATATGACTGTAGACATTGGGATCTCTGGTTCCTATCACCACCATTGTTAAGAAAATCAGTGTCGGTAAGTTTCTCTACAAATGAGTTATTTCGCATCAAATCACTTAGAATTACTGTTTATATCTTAACCCCTGAATTATGGAGCCATTTGGAAAGTTGGTGGAATTCCCTTTTAAGCTCCCTCGTCAGTGAAAAACTGAAAGCGACAGTTAATTGTGCCTCACAAGTTCAGTCAAGGTGAATACTCTCTAATCTCCGTCTGCTTCTTGGTCTTAACCAGCTATTGTCAGGCCACCGGTCATGGCTAAAGATCCACTGTCAGAAGCTGGGCTTCACTTTGATGAACTCAACAAGTTACGAATACTTGAACCTGATGTTGGTCAGAAGACCACAGAGCTCAAAGAGGAGTGCAAGGACTTTGTTGACAGTAAGTATGGTTACATTCTGACTGTAACGTGGTTATGTACAGTGGGTTTCAAAAGTATTTTTAACCACAGTCCCTTTGGCTTTGTACTTCAGCGCATTGCATTACAGTATATGTAAAATCCTGTTTGAGTGAAGGGTATCAGTCCTTTTTAAAATCAGCAGTCCACAGCGTTGATCGAACACTGCTTTCGTCTCATTTTTTGGAAAATAGAAATTGGCCAGTTTCAGAAAGTAGTTGGTGGACTCATCGAAATGGTGGATGAACTGGCCAAGGAAGCAGAAAAAGAAAAAATGAAGGTGCGTATCTCTATTTAAAATCATGATTTAAAACAACTAGTACAAAGCTAAATCATGTTGACATATAAATTGTTTTACAGGCCATAGGAGCTAGAAATCTGCTGAAATCAGTCGCAAAACAACGAGAGGCCCAGCAGCAGCAACTTCAGGCTCTGATAGCAGAAAAGAAGATGCAGCTGGAAAGGTATAATCATATTAGTACTGTGCCCTCTGCTTGTTTTTAAGTGCATTCACATCAGTCAAAAAGCAGCCATAATTGCTGTTCTCCATGTTCTTGTGTGCCTGTTTAAGTAGACAGTTTTTCTTTTGGCAGGTATCGGATTGAATATGAAGCTCTCTCCAAAGTTGAGGCAGAGCAGAATGAATTCATTGACCAGTTTATACTGCAGAAATGAGTGTCTTCTTCATTCTGTCAAGTGGACAGAAAATATGATGCTGTGCATCTGACTCACAATGACTTCCTAGTAAGAATTGGGAATCAAATAGGTCATTTAATTCACTACATGGACTTACCAGGTGTCCCTCATACAACCTCTACTTACTCCTCTTCATTTATACAAGTCGAGTGCTTTATCATAGCTGGATCCAGGGGTTACAAGTGTAACATATCTGTACTATCCTGAGTCATAATTTCAAATGAATACTATTTATACAGAAATTAAAATATTTATACTATTTATATAAAAGCTATTCTGTATATCTGATTTAATACCTTTTGCTACCAGGAAACAAATACAGTATCTGCATGTTACTGTAAATTTACATCTCTTAAGACTTTTTATTTTCTGTAGATCGTGTTACACCCATTTAGTTATTTAAAATTTTGTTGTATTGTACATTTTCCGTTTCTGTATGCCCCTGTTTTTGTTCTTGGGACCACAAAAAATAAGGTGCATTAGAAGTTCAGGAAATTATATAACCAGACAGTGCATTCATTTATTTGTTTACAGTGCATTATTCAGACCTTACAGATTATATCAGTGGACCTTATTACTTTGACAAGCGCCGTGTAAAGTTGATGTGCTTTTGAATAAAACTATTTTGCTTATGTACGTCTTCATCTGCTATATTCCAAACAGCAATCTGGTGTGGACAACACAACTGTTGCATTTTATACACATGCTTTATAACATTGTTTTAGCAAAGTCAGTATTAGTTCAGGTAGTTAAATTCTCAGGGAAACATGTTGCATAGTGACTCATTCCTCCACGAAAAATACAGAATATTGGTCAAATACTGTTTGATCTTACTTAAAAAAAAGTCTGTCTCAGTAGATTGTACTGTCTCACATAAGGCACTTTAAAAACCTTTTGCATCCCTAATGATAAAGGTGTACTGTAAAACTGGAACGTGTAGAAATGGTGAATTTAAGATTCAGGTCATCTACTTCAGTTTCTTGGCTCTCGATGAAGCTTTCCCACCTGGAGGGGAAGTGTTATAGGCTGTGCTAAAGAGCATGGTAAGTAGCAGCACGATGGGAATGACGAGATATGGAGCGTAAACGGACACGAGGGTCAGACGTTCCTTGGACGTTCGAGGGCCCGGGTGAGGTGCCACTGGAAAATCATGGAAAAGGATGTGGGCTAGGATGGGGATCAGACTGGTGGCGACATGTGTGGCGTACACAATCGCTGGAGTCCTGATCCATCTGCAGTTCCCTACAAGAAAAAGTAGTTTTTAACCTTGTCATTGTAGACAGTGGAAGATCAGGCTTGCATAGTACCAGTGGGCTAAGCTATAGTTCATTTTTTTACGTTTCACTGACCTTTCATGAACGCATATGCAGCGACGGGAAAGAAAGGCAACTGGACAAGAGCTTCACAGAATATGAACGACTTGAACCAAAAAGGTGGATCCAGCACCATCGGATCTTTGAAATCGGCAGCATACCAGTGCAGTACATCTATCAGCTGCAATGCAAAGGATGGTTAAGAGACAAACTGCCCGATAACGAAGACCTAATGTTGGTTTAGACGACAAACGAATACCAGTTAGTTTGAGCGTAACTTATTTGACGAAGTTGAAGTCAGCTTCTTTGTTCGAATTTTTCCGTTCCACCTTAAATGGTGCAGCAAATGCATGAAACCGCTGCACCATTTAAGGTGGAACGGTAAAATTCAAATAAGAAGCTGACTTCAGCCTCGTACTTATTTGAGTGAAAACTTACTGCTTGAGGGTACACATGTTCAGGCAGCAGTGCTTGAAGATCAATGAAGAGGGTGATGGGAATGTGCGTCGCAAAGTAGAAGAAAAATATAATTTCTAAGAAGCGGAGAAACATTTTAAGACGAACGTGAAAAATAAACCAACACGTCCCAAACGAGAGAATTCCGCAGTTGTTCGTACACAATGCTAACGCTAACGGCAGGGAGAATCCATGGGAATGGCACCTAGGCAACGTCCAATAGCGTGAGGGAAACGCTCTTCCTATTGGCTCTTCGCCTCGGTTGATCGGAAAGGGGGCGGGGCGATGTCAGCGTCGGGTGACGTCAGGAGAGCAGAAAGCAGATATGTAGCCTTTGCTATGTAGGACCAAGTTCAATCAAGAGATAACGTACCACGGTTTAGCCTTTGACCACTGAGCCATTATTACAACGTTGTAGGGCTAAGTTAAGA